CTCTGCCAGGGACCCAGCTGCCGTCACTCTGCCCCAGTTATGGCCGCAGCTTCCTCCTGGGCCTGTCGCCACCATTCTAAACCTGCCCCCATTGCTCAGAACGATCCGCCCGCCTCGGCCTCCCAGAGTGCTAGGATTACAGGCGTGAGCCACCGCACCCAGCCTTATTACTTTTATTGTAATAAAATATACATAATATAAAATTTATCATTTTCCAGACTTAATTTTAAGCTTTGTTAGGAAGAATCTATAGTTTTCTCTAGTTCTTGTTAAGTCCTACTACTGAGGTGTGTCCCTTCCTGGGGACTAATGCCCCACAATTGATTAGTATTAATGTTGGTATTATTGCTAATGACTGATTCTGGGTGACATTTTAGACTTTCTACTGGTTGACTCTTTAAGCTGCACTATGAACTTTACTATAAGTACATTCCAAATAAGTAACTTTTCTCCTTGAAAAAGGATAACATGTTTTCTGTTAAAACTCCAACTGAAATCTCCGCCATATAATTTTCTGTGGTTGCTCAGCTGTTGTTCCCTCACAGTGGCGCCTTCATGTGTCTTTTCTTAAATTACCTGTACTTGTGGACAATCTAGACAAAGAGGCAGAAAATGAGTGTTAGTGCTGCTTTTGTTTCTTATCAGCTGTGGGATTTCCTCCCTGTAAAATGAATGCAACAAAGCCTGTTTCCCTGGGTATATGAAAACTCAGTGAGAACAGAGTTTATGAAAGTACTCTGTGAATTCTATAAATTAGTGGCCCATGGAACTCTCTTCCAGGTTTGGGATGTAGCAATTTATATATTTGAAAGCCTTAGTCTCCTTCTTCCTCATGTTCTTGTCTTTGTAGTTGTTTTTCCTCTTCACCTGAGTCAGGAGAATGTTAGAGCTTCCTGTTGAAATCCTCAGGGTTACTTTGGACTGAACTGGAATGGAAATGCTTCTTTTTAATGTGTGTTCTTTCAGTGACCCAGAACTGTTTGTTTTCTAACTGTAAACCACATTATTCTGCACCTAAAATGAAGCTTACTAATGCCAAAAATTACTGCTGAAATCAGTTATTTCCATCTGTGGGGGAATTTTTTCATACTAGGTTCATTTGTCAAGGCAACAGCTGAGGCTATGATTGATTACTTATACCCTAGGAAGCTAGGCTGTATAAATTTAGAAATAACCATTCTTTTATGCTAAAAATCGTTATCACGGGAGATTTTCTCTGTGCTGTTACAGTGAACACATCTTGGCACTGTTAGTGTTTGTTCTATTAAGCATGTTAAACAAAACTTTTGTTCAGTAAAAGCTTCTGCAGATGAGAAGCTAATTAACGAAGTAAAAAAATCAGAATTTTTGCTGAGGGGATGGGCTTGCTGCTAACGGTTGCTTTAGTTGAGAATTGTTGGGAACCAAAGGATAATTTACATATTGTTTTCAGAAAATGAACTTTCCAAAACAACAAGCCCTGCCAAAGGGGATCATAGATTTAGTGAATGTAGACTATCCACATGCTAAATGCCCAGGTCACATGACCCTTTCAATCAAACCACATGGCTCTTTTTTTCTCTTAGAAGTGACTATTTCTTAGCATTAAGGGACAATGCTAAGGGCCACTGGCCTGGCCTGGGCCTGGCCCCACAGAAAGTATAAAGTCATGGAGGTGATCAACAGGAATATCTTTTTAGATGTTCAAGGTGGAAACCCAGGAGTCAAACACGACTTCTCTCTCACCCCTCACATTCAATCAGCCATCAAATCTATTCTAATTCTTCATTGGCCCTGGCATGTCTCCACTTCCCTCTGTCCTCCATGGTACCACACCGATCCAGTCAACCACCATTTCTTGATGGGCCACATGATGCCTCTGGTCACCCTACTTCATGTAATCCGATCTCCATTCCAGTGTGACCTTCTGAAAACTCAGCCTTGGCTTCAGACTCTCCAACAGCTCCCTGTCATCCTCACAGTGCAGCTCCAATTCCTTAACATGGTTTTCTAAGATCCTACCAATGGCTGGGGGTGGTGGCTCATGCCTGTAATCCTGGCACTTTGGGAGGCCAAGGCAGGAGGATTGTCTGAGCCCAGGGGTTCAAGACCAGCCTGGGCAATAGTGAGATCCCCTCTCTACAAAAAATAAAAAAATTAGCCAGGTGTGGTGGTGCATGCCTGTAGTCCCAGCTACTCAGGAGGCTGAGGCAGGAGGATCGCTTGAGTCTAAGAGTTGGAGGCTGTAGTGAGCTACGATGACACCACGGCACTCTAGCCCAGGTAACAGAGTGAGCAAGACACTGTCAAAAAAAAAAAAAGGACCTTACAAAAGTGGACTCCTGTTTGCCCCTCCTGTCTCAGCCCACACCTCTCCCCTGTCTAACTCTGCCCTTCAGCTTTTTAGTTCATCATTCATTGCATGTTCTTTCCCTTAATGGAGAACACTTTCCTCCCCACTCCCAAATTCACCTGTCTAATTCTGTCCAGTTCTTACTGATCCTTTTGGTCCCAGTTTAAATATGAGTCTTCCTACAAATCTTCCCTGCCCAGCCTAGTGATGCTGTTGTCTTATACATGGTGCCCGTGTACCTACATGAGCGTAGCTCTTACTACACTGTGTTTTAATTGCCTGCTCACGTGTGCTTTCCCCACTGGGCTGCCTGGTTCACTACTTTATCCAGTGGTGTGTTGAAGCACCACCCTCCCCTTGCTTGGATCAGAAACCTGTGTCATCCTGGCCCTTCTCTTTTCGGCAAGTCCTGTCTGTCAACACTGCACGTGTATCCTGAGTTCCCCCACTCCGCCCGCCCACGCTCTGCCAGGGACCCAGCTGCCGTCACTCTGCCCCAGTTATGGCCGCAGCTTCCTCCTGGGCCTGTTGCCACCATTCTAAACCTGCCCCCATCTGTCTGTCCTCAAGACAGAAACCAGCAGTGAGCTTCCCAAAGTACAACTGGAATCACGTCACTCTCTGCCGAAATGTCGAGTGGCCTTCATCTCACTGGTAAGCCTCACCCGGTTGTATGAGGCCTTACATGATGTCCCTCTGGCCTCATCTGGTCCAACTGCAGTGGCCTCCTCACTGTCTGTAGAACATGCCAGAGCCTTTGCAGGTCCTGGAAGGCTCACACCCAGACTTCTCTTTGGCAAGCTCCCTCTCTTAATACAAGTTTTTACTCAATAGTCACTTTCTCTGGAGTACTTTTCTGGCCAAATTATCTAAAATTTCAACCCCTCCCCAACACCACAGGGCCCTCTGCCCCGCTTTAATGTTTATCCATCCAATGTAGCGTTTACCATATTGTTTACTGACTGACTTTCATTGCTGCCTGTCTTTCCCACTCAAATGGGAGCTCCTGGTGCGTAGGCATTTTATCTCTTTTGTATCCCCAGCTCTGAGAACAGTGCCCAGCACATGGTAGATCTCAAGAAATATTTGTTGAATGAATGAATGATGCAATATCTACCTGAAAGTTCAGCTAAGAGGATCAGACTATTTCATCCATTCCTCTAGACACTTACATGATTTTTCCAGAAATTAAGCTAGATCAGAAAGGGCAGGGCTCTACAAGAACAATAGTGGTACTTATCCTATATTGAGCCTTTGCTCTGTACCTGGAATGGTGCTAAGCATGCACGTGGCACAGAGAGGTTCGGAAATGTGATAAACGTGACACAGCTCAAAGGTGGCTGCACCACTCATGTGATCTCCAGAATGTTCCTTCAGCTGGATCTGCGTTGTCCCGAGGCTTGCGGGCTGTGGTGAGGGACCACAGCAGAGACAGCCCTGTGAGCCCATCATTATGACTAGCGTACGGATGCTGTGGAGAAGGAGAAATTTCCTTCTGTTTTTAATATTTCCCTGCATTCGAAAATGTAGTTGGCTTTTTGACTTATGACACTGAGAATTTTCTCTGTAATGAGTATTCTCTGTTGTTGTTTGACACTAGAAAACTTAATGCCAGGGATCCACCCCACCCTACCCCTCAACCTTTTATATTAGTATCAGACTTCATGGTACAAATGTAACACTTGTTTTCCTTTGACTTTCTCGTGTGTTTCTAATTTATGTTCACTTACAGTACCTCATGACTCTTGTGAGCTGCTTTGATCTGCTTTGGGAGAATCAAGGCAGGGTATGAATACCTTGTGTCCTGTTTTCGTGCCTCGTGTGGTTAATTCTTCTAACCATCATTTAGGAAGTGGAAGCACAGTTGGAGGAAGTGAGGAAGAAATCAGAAAAGGAAATAAAGCAGCTGGAAGAAGAGAAAGTGGCCCTAAATGTGAAGCTCCAGAATTCTCTGCTTGAGGTACGCCCCAGATAAATTCAAGGCTTGGAGGGGATGGTTCTGGGCCCTGGGAGTTTCTGCCTAACTGAGACGCCAGGAACATCAGGACACTTCCCCCGCCTCCTCGCATCCTCGGAAGAGGAAAGGACACTGGGCTAGACAGGAAGGCTGTCTAAGGGGGCGAGGATTTAGCTGCAAGTAACAGAGAGCCTGATTTAGAGGGGTGTGTCTCGCATAAAAGGACAGAGGAGGCTGCTGGTGTTGATTCTGTGGCTAAACGTGTCAGGAGGGGTCAATCTGCAGTTCTCTGCCCTTTGCTTCTCCAAGGCTGCATTAGCACTTTTGTGGGCTGGAGGCACTTTTGCCTTTCTGAGCCCTTCCTATACCAAAAAAGAAAAAAAAAGTATCATATTTTATGATTGCATTGGTAGAAAGATGAATATAATCTAGACTCTCCTTTTTTTTCTGACCTTGAAAGAAATTGAAACATTTTTGTGGGCCTCTAAAAGTATTGAAGTTTCCAGTGGAAAAGGCTAGAAACAGGGTTCTAAGGTCCATTTCTAAGCCTGATTAGACCAAAAAATGTAAAGACGTTTTCTTCCTTCCCCTGCCCTCCCTCATACCTTCCAGATGATGCTGGAGTCTCCCACGCCCTCAGGAGCCCATGAAGCTGGTCCCTCAGTCTTGGCTGTGCATTACAACCTCTGGGGAACTTTTTTTTTTTTTTTTTTTTTTTTTTTTGAGACAGAGTCTCGCTCTGTTGCCCTGGCTAGAGTGAGTGCCGTGGCGTCAGCCTAGCTCACAGCAACCTCAAACTCCTGGGCTCAAGCGATCCTCCTGCCTCAGCCTCCCTAGTAGCTGGGACTATAGGCATGCGCCACCATGCCCGGCTAATTTTTTCTGTTTTTGGTTGTTTGGCTAATTTCTTTCTTATTTTTGTAGAGATGGGGTCTCACTCTTGCTCAGGCTGGTCTCGAACTCCTGAGCTCAAACAATCCACCCGCCTCGGCCTCCCAGAGAGCTAGGATTACAGGCGTGAGCCATCGTGCCCGGCCCTCTGGGGAACTTTTAAGAATACAGAGGCCATGTGCAAAGCATTGTTTAGGAATATGTATCCCTGGAGGAAAATCTAAAGAAGCATGAGGATGATAGAATCAAATCTGGACCAGTGGTTATCTCTAGCAGCGAGAGAATGTGAGGGTCTGCAACTGTATCTGTGATGTGTTGTTTCTTCAGCAGAGTGATGAGTATACAGGTGTTAATTATATTTTTCTCTAACTCTTTTTCTATTTCTGAAATTATTATTTAAAAAAAACCAATGAGTAAGTCGTGGCTTAGACTTGATCTGTCAGGGTCTAAAGGTGGTTCTTGGTGAACTCTGCCATCGAAGCTTCTGTTCTAGCGCAGACCAAGGTGGGGCTGCATGGGAAAGAAACCCATTTCTCTCTCTTCCCTCCTCTTTCTCACTCCCTCCTCCTTCACTTCTCCCTCCGTCTGTCCCTCCACCCCTCCCTCTCTTCCTGTTGAGCTGTGCTGCCAATCTTTTTATTGCACCCAGACCACTTAGCTCTGCAGAGCGGAAGGTGACTTCGTGTATGTGTATGAGACCAGCCCAGTTATCCCGCTGAACCACCTGGGCCAGAGCAGCCTGGGCCAGGATCTGACTGTTTCTGTGAATGCCACTTAGAATTCCTCTTTAAAAATAGCAGTGGCTAACATTTGTGGAATACTTGCTCCAGTCAAGACACTATCTAAGCAGTTTATATTTGCTAATTCTTTTAATCCTCACAACCGATTTATCATGAAGATGCTATTATTATCTCTGATTTACGAATGAGAAAACTGAGGCACAGTAAATCACTTCCCCAAAGTCACACAGCTAACAAGTAGCAGATCCGGGATTCAAACCCAGGTAACGTGGCTCTAACGACCCCACCCCTAACCAGCGCTATTACAGTACCTTGCCTCTTTGATGCCCAAGGATCGTTCACACCTGGGTGTTTACAGATTGCAAGGCATGACCAAGTTCTTGACCATCGACAAAGGGCCTCAGTCTTGCTCTTCATCCTCAATTCCTCTACCACCTGCAGGGTACCTACCATCTATCCACCCACTTGCCAGCTCTCCCACTCTCACCCGTAGTCACCCTGCCATCGCACCCAGTCACTGTCAAGTCCTGTGGGTCCTACGGGTTAAGCCTTTCTGTCTACTTCCTTCTCTCTAGACCTATGCCTTGGACAGGATCCTCAGAGTGGCACCTAGACTCTTTCTTTATCTGCTTACGGATGTTATATAAACAATTGCACAGGACCCCTTTGAATATTTCATAAACCTGAGCAAGATGCAATATAAGGAGAGTTTCATAATCTTGAAATATTTCTTCCCAAAATACTCCTTATGTAAAGCCGAGAGGACATTCTGATGGTCTTGCTGTTCCTCTGCAATGTTGCCCAGAGTCTTGCAAGAGTGTTGTCATGGATTTCCCTGCCTCCGCATTCTCCCTAGGCCAGCTAATTCTAGAACTCATATTATAAAACCCCAATCTGCTCAAAGCCCCACTCCTCCTTCCATAAAAATCTTTATCCCTGTGTTTTTCACCATTTGGGCCCACCCTAACTTGCCACTACTATCCCCCCAAGACTCTGCTCCCTTCCTCCGCTCCTTCATGTGCCCCCACCATGTGGAATCTTTCTTCAGTCTTCACATCCATCCCACCCGCCCTCTACCATCACACCTGCTGTTCCTGCTGCCTGGAATGCACTCTCCCACCTTCACTGCTGGCAGACTCCTATTCATCCTTCGGTGCCCTTAAAGCTGCTTGAACTCCCCTGGGCAGAGTTTACTACTGCAAATTCTGTGCAGTAGTACCTGTGTCATAATGGTTGTTGTGAGGATTAAAAGAGTTAATATTGTCAAAGGCTTCGATCTGTGGCTGGCACAGAGTAAATGCACCATTAATGATGCTATTTTTATTTTGTATGTACCTCTACTGAGTGTTGCTGTGGTTGTAAACACATGTCTATCTCCCCATAAAATGACAGCTCCTTAAAGACAGAGACCATGTTTTATTATTTTACTACGTTTTTTTTTTTTCTGAGACAGAGTCTCACTCTGTTGCCTGGGCTAGAGTGCCGTGGTGTCAGCCTAACTCACAACAACTTCCAACTCCTGGGCCCAAGTGATCCTCCTGCTTCAGCCTCCTGAGTAGCTGGGACTATAGGCACGCACCACCGTACCCAGCTAATTTTTTCTGTTTTTGGTTGTTTGGCTAATTTCTTTCTATTTGTAGTAGACATGGGGGTCTCACTCTTGCTCAGGCTGGTCTCGAACTCCTGAGCTCAAGCAATCCTCTCACCTTGGCCTCCCATCATGCTAGGATTACAGGCATGAGCCACCGTGCCCGGCCTATTTTACTATCTTCCTCTCTCTCCGTCACTTCCCCTTCCCTCCTCTTACCTAGCATGGCACCTGACAAGTATTAGGTTTTCTAGAAAGAATTGCTAGCAAAGTCTCAGTTTCCTTTATGGTGTTTGGCCTCGTTCTCCTCAAAGTCTAGAAGGAAAGCAGCCTGTTTAATTGATACATTACAATTAGTTGGTTAGTAATAATCATCATAATTAAGGCATTACAATTTTATAGCACCTTCCAACCACTCTTCTCTCATTTTATCTGTACAATTCTTAAATGCTGTTCATTTTCTTTACCAACTAACTTTTTAAAAAAGAAATTGAATGGCATTTCAAGAATGGCACAAAAGCTATCCTACAGGTCTAGTATAGAAATGGGTGTTTAAATAATTTAAAGGAAAGAGTGGAACACTGTAAACCTGCTAGGCTTACCTTCTTCTGGAAAGACTGAGCAACTAGCTAATTAGAAATGGCATTTCTAGAAGCATGTGTGGAATTTATCTAATGGGACACTCTCCCCAGAACAGACAGACCCAGGAGAATCGATTCCCAGGTTGGTGACCATAGCCAGGAAGTAGGACTTGGTTTCATTGCCCAGTGTTTCTTATCTTCTGTTTTAGGTTTTAAGGCTGGAAGAATTTATCCAACAAAATAAGGTACACCCCCAAAGAGCTGAAGTGAGGCCGCAGGAATTAGACTGCCAGCGCAGCAGCATTCTGGAGACCCAGGTAACCTCTCGCTTTAATTAGGATATTTCCCTTCTCCATCTCAGTGCTCTGGCGTCCCCAGTGACACATGCCGATGCTAACGGGCTCTTTTATGTCTCCCCTCAGCACTGCCAAAATGCCGAGAGAAAAAAAAATCACCACAAAATCCATTTGCAAAAACCACAAAGAAAACAGAGTTCTGAGTAATTATCCACGTGCTTTGAGCAAGCATCAGGCTTGTCAGATTAGCCTCCTCTCCTCTCCGAGAGCAGCCTGCCCTGCAGAGAGAGGGGCGCTCCCCTAGAGCAGGGCCTGAGTCTGCCCAGCCTGGACCAGGCAGTGCTAATAACACCCCTTCCCATCGCTGCCTCCCTCCCAGCCCAAAATCTCCTTCTCTCTCATGTGGAGCTGCCCTCTCGGAGGCTGGTTCCTATGCGTCTGTCTGTCTGTCTCATGAGAGGCTGTATTATTTTTCTAGAACTATTGTAATGAATTACCACAACATACTTAGTGGCTTAAACAACAGAAGTTTGTTCTCTCACAGTTCTGAAGACCCGCAGTCTGAAATGAAGGTGCCGGCAGGGTTGGTTCTTGCTGGAGGATGGGGGAGAGCCTTTTCCCTGCCTCTCCCCGGCCGCTGGTGGCTGCTGGGCCATCCTTGGCATTCCTTGGTATCTTCGGCTTGTAGACGCATCACTGCAATATTGGCCTCTGTCATCATACGGCCTCCTTCCCTGTGTGCCTGCGTCTCTGTGTCTGCACGTGGCCTTCTCATAAGGGCCCCAGTCATTGGACTTAGGGCCCACCCTACTCCACTGTGACCTCATCTTAACCAATTGCATCGCCAAAGACCCTGTTTCCAAATAAGGTCACATTCATAGGTACTGGGGGTCAGGACTTCAGTCTGTCTTCGTGGAGGCACAATTTAACCCACAACACAGACCCTCAGTGACCATTCATTGCATGATGTCAGAAACATAAATAATTTCTGTGAAGTCGGTGTTTGAGTGCCCTGGCTCAGTAACCCTCTGTTTCGGCAGTGGGGAGCTAGCTGGTATCCTCCTTGATGATATTAAATTTAAAATAAGGTTGATAAGCTGGAGACTTCAATTCAGGAAGAGTCTACCACAGGCTGTGTTTTTAGGAGGAAATACAAGCACGTAGAAGTTCTCAGTATATTCCGAGGCTGATGAACAAGAGTCCAACAGCAGGTCGTGTTGTCCATGAGCCTGTGCTGTCACCACACCTCAGGGCTTTTCAGGACTTTGGAGTTGGGTAACTCTTTGTTGTGGGGGGCTGTGTTGTTTACTATAGCATGTGCTGCAGCATCCCTGGCCTCCACTCCCCAAATGCCAGTAACATCTCCCTCCAACCAAACTGTTTCAACCAAAAATGTCTCCCGGGGGACAGAAGTACCCCCAGTTGAGAACCAGTGCTCTAGCTAAAAAAAGCAAGAACATGTTGAGAACCATGGGTTGGTCCATCATGAAACTCAGCCCTCATCCCACCCTTCTTAATCTAGAACCTTGTCCCTCACTGAGCTTGGTTTCTAGAGGGCAGTGCAGACTCCTCCTGTATAGAGTTGCAGAAGGAACCTTGACAAATATCAGTTCCATTTGCTTCAACTCAATATGCACTGTATTCACTCATTGATTCCAGTCATTCGTGGAATACCCAGGATGTGCCAGCCTGTGAGCTGGATGCTGGAGGGGAGAAATATGCATAAACAAATAGCTTTAAAACCATGCTTTCATTTTGTAATAGAATTAAACATCTGGTGCAGTGTTTTCTACTAGGGAACTGTCACGCACTTTGCAGGTGTTGTTTGTGCTTTCAAATTAAGTTCTCTTTCCAAATAAGCAAACCATATATGTGGTACAGAATTCAAAAGGTATGTAAAGGAATACACTCTTTCCCCCAGGTTCCGCAATCCTAGAGAAAAATTCCGGTTTTGTTTTATTTTATTTCTTGTATATCCTTTCAGTGCTATACTGTGCACATACAGGCATAATTATAGATATTCTTTTTTCCCCTCAAATGATAGCATACTCTGCTACATTCTGCTTTTTTTAACTTCAATTTTTATAGCTTGGAAATTGTAACACATCAGTACACTTCCATATCAACTTCATTAAGAAAATAATAACTGTCTAGTTCTCCTTTGACCAGAAAAATCATAATATATTTAATTTGTCCCTTATGATGGACATGTAAGTGGTTTTTAATTTTTTGCTATTATAGATGATACTTCAGTGCATAGCACTGTAGAGGGATATGGTGTAGTATAGTAGTTACGCAAGCTTACCCTTGAACCAGACACCTGGGTTCTTACTGGCTGGATAATCTTGGACAAATGATTTAATGTCCCTTTGCTTCAGCATTCTCAGCTATGAGACATGGATGATGACACCACCTACCTCAGAGGGCCTTTTTGAGGACTAAATGAATTAATATCTGTCTAGTGTTCAAAACAGCACCCGGCACATGTAAATGCTCCGAGATGCTAACTCTTACTACTGTAGAACTCCCTGGATCCAGTGATGTGTGCATGTTTTGAGCATTGTCAGATATTGCCCCACTGCCTCCCGCTGAGGTTGTTCCACCGTGTCCTCCCACCAGCACACATATGCCTGCAGCCGCACAACCTCACCAACGTAGTGAGCTACAAAGCTTTCTGAACTTTGCCAGTCGGAGAAGATTTATAATTGTGTCCAGATAGTTTTGGCAAGCCTAGTATATGACGGCCTAGTGAGTTCAAGTTTTGCCTAGATCTAGATGATGTGTGAGCAGTACTGCAGTGTGGCCGTACCTGAAACAACACAGGGCCATGCAAGGGGTGGAGGCAATGCCAAGGGGGCTTAGCGGGGCTTGAACAATCTGATGGCTGATCTGCTAGTGGAAACAGGGATGCTGTTATAGAATAGGATGTTAAATGACAGCTTCCCCAGTGATGTTCTTGCTGGATGGTACAGCTATAAAATTTAAGTTTGCTCAAGACTCAGGGGTTTCAGCTTAGGCCCTTAGCTGTTCTGCCAAAGCATTTCAGTGAGTCAAGAGAGATAAAAATAGTAATACCGCTGGAGAGCAGACTCTCCCCTCCATTCCCAGAATATACAGAGAGAGGGTTGCCAAACCCGGGTGTGGCTCTGTCCCCATCAAATTTAGCTGGGACCTTACTGAGCCTTTTTTCCTGGTCTCTCCAAACCAGGCTCCTTGATTCTCTTAGATTCAAAGTTTCATTAATTGGTTTCCAGAAAGCCATTTTAGTCTCAGTAATTCTGAAGGAAAACTTTTTTCTAGAATATTTCTTTGGTGTCTGGGTCACACTGAACTAGGAGTAGAAAGAAGAGAAGTTTTCTTAGATGCCCTTGTCTGTTCCCTCTCCAGAAGGGAAACGACAGTCATTTCTGGTAACTATTATTCAAGTCATTTCATTTCTACAAATACATATGAGTGCTGTCACTACACAAGCCTTAGGTCTAGATGTCCAGGTGAATGAGGCCCAAGCTTGGTCCTTGAAGGGCTCAAATTCAAATGGGGGAAGTAAATATTTACTTAAATAATATCCTGATATGATGAGTGCTATAATAATGGTGAGAATTCTCTGGCAGCTTGTATGGGAGAGGAAGTTTTCTACCCAGGGGAAGAGTCCAGGAAGGTTTTCCAGAAGAGAGACATCTGCTCACATCTGCCTCATGCTGAAATTTGACTTCGCCAGGAAAAGGAATGCCAGGGGAAGCTACACGGGCAGGATCCCTGAGGCCAGTGGGAAGGGAGCCAGGGCCATTCCAAAGCTCTCCCGGCCTGAGAAGTGTCCCCTCTCACTGGGGGCCCCGTGTGGTCTGCTGGCAGCAGTCACCGTGTACCATACCTAGAGGACCACATGAATCCAAAGCGACAGCTGTCTGGGCAGTCAGCAGACAGGTGATTGATCACTAGGCTCTTAACTGCAACGTCCTGAGTGTCTTCAGGCCATTAGGGGCTGGCACCCTCCGTCTGGTGTGACTAAAGGTGTCCAGTTTGATCTGACATGGAACAAGGAGGGCTGCCCTTCACTCCATGGAGAGGTTTCTGGCATCAGCTGAGATTCACTGGAGCCCAAGAGGACAGCATAGGATAGGGCAGCAGCCCCCCTCTGAGGGTCAGGACATGGGTTCTGCCCCAGCTCTACCCCAGACCTGTTCAGGGACCTCGGGCAACTCCAAAACCCTTCCTGAGATGAGTTTCCTCATTACTCATGATGGCAAGCACAGGTAAGGCTCTGACTGTGTGCCAAGCACGTAGAGCTTTATACAGTCCTCAAACAACCCTATGCCACAAGTATTAGCCTCATCTTATGGGGAAACTAAGTCCAAAGAGTGGCACCAAGGCCCGTGCTCTACAGCAGCAGTCCCCAACCTTTTTGGCACCAGGGACCGTTTTCATTGAAGACAATTTTTCCACGGACCGGGGGCGGAAGGAGGGATGGTTTCAGGATGATTAAAGTGCACTGCATTTATTGTGCAGTCAAACCGCTCTGCTAGTGATAATCTGTATTTGCAGCCACTCCCCAGTGCTAGCATCACCGCCTCAGCTCCACCTCAGATCATCAGGCATTAGATTTGTGTAAGGAGTGTACAACCTAGATCCCTTGCATGTGCAGTTTGCAGTAGGGTTCGTGCTCCTATGAGAATCTAATGCCACCGCTGATCTGACAGGAGGTGGAGCTCATGCAGTGATGCAAGTGATGGGGAGCGGCTGTAAATACAGCTGAAGCTTTGCTTGCTCTCCCACTGCTCACCTTGTGCTGTGCACCCTGGTTCCTAACATACCACGGACCCGTACCAATCTGCTGCCTGGGGGTTGGGGCCGCAGCTCTAAACCATGGTGCTATACTACTTCTCATTAGTAAAATGGCAGCGATAATCCCTGCCCTCCATTGCCCCAGAGATTTGTGATAATGAACAGAAGAAAGCATTTGAAGGCATTTTGAAAAACTGCTAAAGATTCTATAAATGTAAGGTGACTTTATAGTATCTATT